GTAGTAAAATCATTATTTATATTGGGGGGATAGAGATGTCACATCTGTAAAAAAATATGATATCCGGAAAGCAGTTGTGCAATGAAGGAGATTTACTAAAATGGGTGCACAAAGAATCTGGTGCAGTTGTGCATAGTAATCAGTTTATAATTTAAGCTTGTTCACCTAAGCTTTGACAATCAAACCTAGAATACTGCTACATTGCATATCTGCTAGCAAATACAGGAGCTGACTAAGCAGCCTAAGTATATACTGTAGGTGACACTACCCACACCACTGCCCAGTGGGCCAACCAGTTGGCCTAAGGGCCCCTAAATTACTAGCAGGAATGTTACCTATCATACCTGAGAGATTTGTAATCCACTAGGTAAGAAGTAAGTGATCCAGTATCCCCTTTGACAGAACTTCACTGTAGGCAGAATAAAGGGCAATAATAGTAAAAAAAAAAAAGGCAGGGTGACCAATAGGTCTTTCACCACTACAATATTCAGGATGGAGGCAAGCAGAGGATAAACTGCAGGTCAAGGTAAAAGGCAGCATGCCAGACATTGGGCCTCCCTCTCAAGTCTGTACCGGCATGGGGATTCTCTTCTTGTGGCCCTGCCCTGTGTTGCCCTTCTACTGAGGACATTCAGAGCCAGTCTTTGGACAGCCACATATTCTCTTTCTTGGAGTCCTCTGCTGCAGCTCTGCATGGCACATGTAACAGATCATTCCATGACCAGCATAGCTCTGCAGCTTCCTTCTCAGAAATTCAGTTTCTGGTACAATAGTTTCACTCACAACCACTTGGTAACCCTTTTACACGTAGGCCCCATAAATTACTCACATCTATCTTGGTCAGGATATCCCTCTTGGCACAGTACAACTGCATGGTAAGCTCCTCTCTCTGTAAGCTGCTCACAGTAACAATCCCCAGCAGTCCAGATTCTGACCTCCATGTTAGGGCAGCTGCTAATGCAGCCATTTGCAGTCCTCCATCCTTGCCACTCCCCTCCAAAATGGCCTCCACTACTCCTGTATCCTGCACTGAGGACACTTTCTTCTTCCAGCACCGTCCACCAAATGCTAGTAAGGAGTAAGAAGCTTAACAGAGAAGAATGTTCTTTAGGGCAGCTTAAAGGGGCTACAGGCCAAGCTACAAGTGCTTTAAACATTAACGTGTTAAAGGGATCTTGGTAGACCACTAACACTTTCTTAACTTGAAGTACGTAGTCTTAGTGCCAGTTTTCCCAATGTAGTGCCCACCAGACTCCCTCAAAGACAGATATAGTACCTCCAAAGGGCAGGGAGTGACCTAGCATTTACCACAGGGCTCTAAAGAGGAGATTTGAACAGAAAGTGGGTGCCAGTCACTTTAGGTCTTTTCAAAGCTTTATTGTTGAACTTGAAAGGAGGTGGAAGGAGAGGGTTAGGAGTTTTAGATGCCACGCAGATTACTTACATACACCTTGGATCCAGAAAAAAAGTCCAGCTTCACAGTGTCAGAACCTTTAAGCCAACTCGGCAACACTGCAAGCATGTTTTCAGAGTCTAGTGCGTCCTCCAAGCGAGTCATCAGGCCCTTCTGAGAGACCAGCCTTCATCCTGGCTCTCTCCAGCAAGGGACCTCCCCTGGATCTTCTCACCTTGGCTTGGCATCCTCCACCTCGGGCAGGACAGCCTCAGGACCACTTCAAAGAAGGTAGGCCCAGACAGGCTTCTGGGCTTAACAAGGAGTTCTCTCCAGCAGCAGCTCCTCAGGCCTCAGCCTGAGGCAAGTGAGCCAGCACATGGCCCACCCCAAATATATATATATATAAATCCTGTATAATAATATGAATCCCCTCCCAGAATGCACCAGTGGCCATAGAACTTCCTACTGGGCTGTCTGGAAGAAATATAAATATTCATAACTCAGGCCAATTCTGCAATCTCATGTTATGACCTGTGGTACCAGTGACACCTACTGGCAACAGTGGGAAATGCACAACCCAACTGAGCTTAGAGGAAAGCCAAATAAAGAAACTGTACAATCAGTCTGAACCAGCTACAGCCCAACCAAAAACTAAATTTGCATAGTAACCCCAGTTTAGGACCAGAGGGCTACACCAACAAATCTCTATTGAAGCAATATGGCTCACTAACCACCATGTCTCTAGTAATAACAGCTTACGCTGTCAGCACATGGTGAACTGGCTAGCAGAATCTCTCTTGAATCCTATTACTAGCTAGCACAACTCATTGCTGGTTTTTACAGAATTCCCCCGTTGATGTCTATAGTAAACGTTCTATACAATTACAGACAAGCTCTACTGAATTACTCAAGCACAAAAAAGTGCTCTCCTAAGTGACTGATTACTTAAGAAATTAAAGAAATTAACTAGGAGCCTGGAGAACAAATGCTTAGGGAATGACCCACTAAAAGAATCTACCACACGCATGAGAAAGCAAGATACAGTAATAGTTCTGTTACATAATCACAGCATAGGCTTTATGTATCTGACAATCAAGATGCTTGGTGGAATACAAGTTGTATATATCATGTATCTGTCCATGTAATCTTGATTGAAGTGTTATAATATAGATATATGCTAGTATACATCAAAAAGTGATTTTGATTTATTCATATCAAGATATTTGTATCATTAGGTTCTGATGATCAAGGCCATATGATAGTAACTTCAATATTGAGGCCTTTTTAATTACAGCTGATAGGGGGCCATTTAAAAATTGTTCTAAAGCAGCCTACAAGCATGATATGATGAGTGATAGATCTCTGAAGAGGCAGGATAACAACTCCGGGGGAAGAGGAGTGCCGAGTAAATACTGTAGGTTGGAAAATCTAGGTAAATTACTATTGCTCTTACTATTACTGTGACTAATGACACTAGTGGGGTTTGGTTGCACCATTCTTCTCCTACTCCCTACCATATAGCTAAGAAAAAATAGGATTTATGACATGTAACTTGCAGACTATGCTGACATCCATGTTAGGCAAAATGACAGTTGGTATTTGTCTTTTAAGGGAATTCAAGACAGACAGGCAGCTGAATTTGAAAACTGCTTTACAGTGTAAAAAATTAAAAATGATATATGATGCGGTCTGTGACAATGCTGTTCCAATATAGTGGAATCACACAGTACTGTTGTCAGCTTGGCACCAGATTAGTCTTAGATGGATATGTAGTTTTAAATTGATTTTAAGCATGAGACAAGCAAATAAAGTGTTACTAAACCCACAACAGTAAAATCAGTCTGTATGTGCAGTAAAGCATGCTTGTTATACTCACTGTGGAACCTAAGGGGTTACTCCTCTGCATTATGTAAAAAGGCTGTTTGATCCTGTCTTTGCTGCCCTTCCTCTTGTTGAAATGACCACCTGATACAGACTGAATCCGTAGTCACATGCACATGCATACTCAGTTTGGTGTGTATTGTTAGAGAGGGTTTTTTTTTCTTTTCTTGGGAGAGTGCATGTGATCAGCACAGGGCCAATCAGCACTGTCCAGACAGAGGGTCATGGGTTTCACATCCTCCTAGAGCAGAAATAAAACTCTTCCTATAAGCTTTAACCAGTGCTCTGCTAAAGTCACAAGACTGCTCTAGCTGCTGATGAGAAAAGGTATTTAGCAGTTTATATTTACTAAAATAATTGCATTTCCATGTTCTGTGTACAGTGTGAAACCAGATAAAGTGAATGCAGGGTCCTGGGGTTGGTATCACTATAAAGCCAGAGTCCTTCTAACACTTTCACTGACACAATCCTAACTAACATAAACCTAACTCAATCACTGCAACATTTTTTATTCTTTTGAAAAATAAGTTAAAGCTATTTAAATAAAATTAAGTACCCCTACCAATGCAATATGGTTTAATCCAGATGTAACTGCTGGACAGCTTGCCATTTTACAAGAAATGGCAAAATGATAAGGGTAATTCACAAGGAGCAGCACAGGCATAAAGCCTGCTCCAGTCTTGTTAAATGCAATCCCTTTTGTTAATTAAGAACAATCTGCTTTGTTTTTTATGGCAAGCCTGTGCTAGACACAGCATGGAGCTGGAGAGAGAGCTGAGATCAAGAGGGAGGAAGAATGCTGTTAACCCTGAATTTGCTGGATTTTAACAGCTGGGAATATAGACAAGAAAGGAGCTTTCTATGGCTATATGGAGGCTCTGTGGCTCATGTGAGCTGCTTCCAGGCTACTGGCAGACATTTTACATTATGGAGGCCAGTTCTAATCTGGCGATGATCTGTGGCAGTTTTCTATATTAAAAATTGCTGTGATCCCTTTGTTGCTTAGGCATAGAACCCATGCCATTCTATTTCTCTCTGCATTAGATACCAGTGTGGGTGGTGCAGATACACCTAAAATAAGTTTATCAAATAGCCCTGAAATAGGTCTATAGGCTTGTTATTGTGGTTAATGCCACTTGCACCAACTTCCTGCTCCATTGTAATAGCACAGAAAGTTGAAAGAGGGGAAGGGAAAAAATTGGAAAGCCAGGGAGTCCACAATAATCTGCAGAGGGATATAACAGAGGTGCCACCAGGATTAACTGGAAAGATGCTACCTAAAACATATTACAAAAACAAAGAAAAAAGAAAATAGGCTGCACACCTAAAAGGCTAACCTCAAAAAGTGTTTCTTAATAAATAACATACACAGTAAAAAACATTACATCGGAAATCATACCCAATCACAAGGACCCTCCACCCCCCGTATGAAAGGGCCTCTCATGTCAGACACTTGCTGATGGTAAAATGTGTCCCCTGGATACATACCACATATAACCTCCTCGATGGAAACTCAACCCCCCCAAAGCCATCCACTAGAGATGAGCGAAGTATTCAAAAATTCGATTCGGCTGATTCGGCGAATTCGCGGAATAAATTTGCTTCGAGCCTTATAAAAAGGGTGTTTCTAGGCTTCAGAGAGCCTTTATATTAGTGCAGAACACTGTACCTTTAATTTAAATGCCCTTGGAGTCTGCTGGGGAAGAGAAATAATACTGTCAGTCAGTATGACATGCAGATGAGTGCCGTCGATCTTAGAATCACCGCACACTTCACTCATTTGGGCAGTCACGGGGCCAAAACCAGAGTGTGGAGCCACAGTGTGGCAGTGGAGGCAGCAGCAATGGGAGGCCATACAGCACCCTATGACAAAATGGAACCCACCAGCAGTGTGAGGAGACCTGAAAGTGGCACATGGCAGAGTGTGGCGATGGAGACAGCAGCAATGGGAGGCCGTACAGGGACCCATGAGACACTCTGGACCTGGCAGCAGCATGAGGAGGCGGTACAGGGGCCCATGACAGATTACGGGCCTGGCAGCAGCATGAGGAGTCGGTACGGGGGCCCAGATGGGCAGATTACGGGGCCTGGCAGCAGAAGCAATGGGAGGCCCGTAATCTGCCAGCACCCTATGACAAAATGGAACCCACCAGCAGTGTGAGGAGACCTGAAAGTGGCACATGGCAGAGTGTGGCGATGGAGACAGCAGCAATGGGGCCGTAGGCCGCAGGGACCCATGAGACACTCAGGGACCTGGCAGCAGCATGAGGAGGCGGTACAGGGGGCCCATGGCAGATTACGGGCCTGGCAGCAGCAATGGGAGGCCCGTAATCTGCCAGCACCCTATGACAAAATGGAACCCACCAGCAGTGTGAGGAGACCTGAAAGTGGCACATGGCAGAGTGTGGCGATGGAGACAGCAGCAATGGGAGGCCGTACAGGGACCCATGAGACACTCTGGACCTGGCAGCCATGGCAGGGGCCCATGAGGAGGGCCTGTACAGGGGAGTCGGTACCCCATGGCAGATTACGGGCCTGGCAGCAGCAATGGGAGGCCCGTAATCTGCCAGCACCCTATGACAAAATGGAACCCACCAGCAGTGTGAGGAGACCTGAAAGTGGCAAATGGCAGAGTGTGGCGATGGAGACAGCAGCAATGGGAGGCCGTACAGGGACCCATGAGACACTCTGGACCTGGCAGCAGCATGAGGAGGCGGTACAGGGGCCCATGGCAGATTACGGGCCTGGCAGCAGCAATGGGAGGCCCGTAATCTGCCAGCACCCTATGACAAAATGGAACCCACCAGCAGTGTGAGGAGACCTGAAAGTGGCACATGGCAGAGTGTGGCGATGGAGACAGCAGCAATGGGAGGCCGTACAGGGACCCATGAGACACTCTGGACCTGGCAGCAGCATGAGGAGGCGGTACGGGGGCCCATGGCAGATTACGGGCCTGGCAGCAGCAATGGGAGGCCCCGTAATCTGCCAGCACCCTATGACAAAATGGAACCCACCAGCAGTGTGAGGAGACCTGAAAGTGGCACATGGCAGAGTGTGGGCGATGGAGACAGCAGCAATGGGAGGCCGTACAGGGACCCATGAGACACTCTGGACCTGGCAGCAGCATGAGGAGGCGGTACGGGGGCCCATGGCAGATTACGGGCCTGGCAGCAGCAATGGGAGGCCCGTAATCTGCCAGCACCCTATGACAAAATGGAAACCAACAGCAGTGTGAGGAGACCTGAAAGTGGCAATGGCAGAGTGTGGCGATGGAGACAGCAGCAATGGGAGGCCGTACAGGGACCCATGAGACACTCTGGACCTGGCAGCAGCATGAGGAGGCGGTACGGGGGCCCATGGCAGATTACGGGCCTGGCAGCAGCAATGGGAGGGCCCGTAATCTGCCAGCACCCTATGACAAAATGGAAACCAACAGCAGTGTGAGGAGACCTGAAAGTGGCACATGGCAGAGTGTGGCGATGGAGACAGCAGCAATGGGAGGCCGTACAGGGACCCATGAGACACTCTGGACCTGGCAGCAGCATGAGGAGGCGGTACGGGGGCCCATGGCAGATTACGGGCCTGGCAGCAGCAATGGGAGGCCCGTAATCTGCCAGCACCCTATGACAAAATGGAACCCACCAGCAGTGTGAGGAGACCTGAAAGTGGCACATGGCAGAGTGTGGCGATGGAGACAGCAGCAATGGGAGGCCGTACAGGGACCCATGACACACTACGGGCCTGGCAGCAGCATGAAGAGGAGGCGGTACGGGGCCCATGGCAGATTACGGGCCTGGCAGCAGCAATGGGAGGCCCGTAATCTGCCAGCACCCTATGACAAAATGGAACCCACCAGCAGTGTGAGGAGACCTGAAAGTGGCACATGGCAGAGTGTGGCGATGGAGACATGGGCCCCCTGGCCACGCTTGACTTTCTGGCCACATAGTCGACATACGGCTACGTTTACTTCCTCGGGCGGCTTGACGAAAAATTGCCACACCGCCGAGTAGGAAACTTTGCCCCCGCTACTCCCTCACTGGCTGACTGCTACTTCCTCCGTGCACACTGGCACCACTACTGGCCGTGGTGGTAGGCTGCAGTGGAGCTGGTGCTCTACTCCGTGGCCGTTTGCCTCCACTGACACTGCTGCGACCCTGCTGCCTCCTGGGCAACCCACCGACTGTTTTGCTCGCTGCCAAGCTGGCACCCTCTTCTCCTGATGATGCGGAAGCAATAGCCTGATGACGACGAGGCTGCCAAGTGGATCAGCCTCATCATCATCAATTAGGGTCTCCGCCTCACTACTAGCCCCCTCGGCTGCGTGTGGGTCAGGAGACAGACCTGTCTCTAGACCGGCTACCGAGCCACTCTCCTCGCCAGTACTTCTTCGCCTGGCTGCTGAAGAGGCGGATGTCTCCCCCCGTTCCTGACCGCCCTCTGTTAGCTCTTCCTCACTGTACAGTGGGGCTGAGCCCACAGCATGCGATACTTCGCTTGGTGAGGGAACACCAAAGGACAGGGGCAGGTAGAGGACACGTGATTTCAGTGGGCTTGCTCCCGGGCCATGCCAACTAACGGTTGTGTCTGACGTACCCACCGACCGTTGGCTGTAGGTGTCAGAGGTGACCTGGGAAGAGTAAGACGACCGAGCCAACCAATCGATGACGGCAGGGTTGTCGGTGGAGACACGACCGCTGGATGACACCGGGAGCACTGGCCTCTGGCTGCGACTAGTGCTGCCTCGACCCCTTCCTCTGCTGCCACGTTTCTGCTCGCTCCTAAAACATGGCCTCCTCTGACACTCCTCTGCGTGTTGTCTGACATACACTTTAATTCAACGATTCTGTGTCCCTGAGTAACGATTCTGTGTCCCTGAGTAACAGTTCTGTGTCCCTGAGTAACAATTCTGTGTCCCTGAGTAACAATTCTGTGTCCCTGAGTAACAATTCTGTGTCCCTGAGTAACAATTCTGTGTCCCTCAGTAACAATTCTGTGTCCCTCAGTAACAATTCTGTGTCCCTCAGTAACAATTCTGTGTCCTCAGTAACAATTCTGTGTCTGTCCCTGAGTAACAATTCTGTGTCCCTCAGTAACAATTCTGTGTCCCTCAGTATCAATTCTGTGTCTGTCCCTGAGTAACAATTCTGTGTCCCTCAGTAACAATTCTGTGTCCCTCAGTAACAATTCTGTGTCCCTCAGTAACAATTCTGTGTCTGTCCCTGAGTAACAATTCTGTGTCCCTGAGTAACAGTTCTGTGTCCTGAGTAACAATTCTGTGTCCCTGAGTAACAATTCTGTGTCCCTCAGTAACAATTCTGTGTCCCTCAGTAACAATTCTGTGTCTGTCCCTGAGTAACAATTCTGTGTCCCTGAGTAACAGTTCTGTGTCCCTGAGTAACAATTCTGTGTCCCTGAGTAACAGTTCTGTGTCCCTGAGTAACAATTCTGTGTCCCTGAGTAACAATTCTGTGTCCCTCCGTAACAATTCTGTGTCCCTCAGTAACAATTCTGTGTCCCTCAGTAACAAATTCTGTGTCTGTCCCTGAGTAACAATTCTGTGTCCCTGAGTAACAGTTCTGTGTCCCTGAGTAACAATTCTGTGTCCCTGAGTAACAATTCTGTGTCCCTCAGTAACAATTCTGTGTCCCTCAGTAACAATTCTGTGTCTGTCCCTGAGTAACAATTCTTCTGTGTCCCTGAGTAAACAGTTCTGTGTCCCTGAGTAACAATTCTGTGTCCCTGAGTAACAATTCTGTGTCCCTGAGTAACAATTCTGTGTCCCTGAGTAACAATTCTGTGTCCCTCAGTAACAATTCTGTGTCCCTGAGTAACAATTCTGTGTGTCCCTGAGTAACAATTCTGTGTCCCTGAGTAACAATTCTGTGTCCCTGAGTAACAATTCTGTGTCCCTCAGTAACAATTCTGTGTCTGTCCCTGAGTAACAATTCTGTGTCCCTGAGAAACAGTTCTGTGTCCCTGAGTAACAGTTCTGTGTCCCCGAGTAACAATTCTGTGTCCCTGAGTAACAATTCTGTGTCCCTCAGTAACAATTCTGTGTCTGTCCCTGAGTAACAATTCTGTGTCCCTCAGTAACAATTCTGTGTCCCTCAGTAACAATTCTGTGTCCCTCAGTAAAATTCTGTGTCTGTCCCTGAGTAACAATTCTGTGTCCCTGAGTAACAGTTCTGTGTCCCTGAGTAACAATTCTGTGTCCCTGAGTAACAGTTCTGTGTCCCTGAGTAACAATTCTGTGTCCCTGAGTAACAATTCTGTGTCCCTCAGTAACAATTCTGTGTCCCTCAGTAACAATTCTGTGTCCCTAGTAACAATTCTGTGTCCCTCAGTAACAATTCTGTGTCCCTCAGTAACAATTCTGTGTCCCCTCAGTAACAATTCTGTGTCTGTCCTGAGTAACAATTCTGTGTCCCTCAGTAACAATTCTGTGTCCCTCAGTAACAATTCTGTGTCTGAGTCCCTGAGTAACAATTCTGTGTCCCTCAGTAACAATTCTGTGTCCCTGAGTAACAATTCTGTGTCCCTGAGTAACAATTCTGTGTCTGTCCTGAGTAACAATTCTGTGTCCCTGAGTAACAATTCTGTGTCCCTCAGTAACAATTCTGTGTCCCTCAGTAACAATTCTGTGTCTGTCCCTGAGTAACAATTCTGTGTCCCTGAGTAACAATTCTGTGTCCCTGAGTAACAATTCTGTGTCCCTGAGTAACAGTTCTGTGTCCCTGAGTAACAATTCTGTGTCCCTGAGTAACAATTCTGTGTCCCTCAGTAACAATTCTGTGTCCCTCAGTAACAATTCTGTGTCAGTAACAATTCTGTCCCTGTCCCTCAGTAACAATTCTGTGTCCCTGAGTAACAGTTTCTGTGTCCCTGAGTAACAATTCTGTGTCCCTCAGTAACAATTCTGTGTCCCTCAGTAACAATTCTGTGTCTGTCCCTGAGTAACAATTCTGTTCTGTGTCCCAGTAACAATTCTGAGTAACAGTTCTGTGTCCCTGAGTAACAGTTCTGTGTCCCTGAGTATCAATTCTGTGTCCCTCAGTAACAATTCTGTGTCCCTCAGTAACAATTCTGTGTCCCTCAGTAACAATTCTGTGTCTGTCCCTGAGTAACAGTTCTGTGTCCCTGAGTAACAGTTCTGTGTCCCTGAGTAACAATTCTGTGTCCCTGAGTAACAATTCTGTCTCCCTAAGTAACGATTCTGTGTCCCTAAAGTATCTGTGGCCCTAACTCTGTCCCTAATACAGAGAGGTCTGTCTCTCTTGAATGACCGGAGGCAAATGGAGAATTGTAAGATGGCCGCAATTTATAGCTCCACCATTACACAGTGCTGGCTGGCTGGCTGCTGATTGGCTAATGCGATCACATGTCATGAATGAATGCATTATGGGTCAGCGCGCCTTGTCTGCACGCCTTCCCAGAGATCCCGCTCCGTCGCCACACATGTCGCCGCCATTTTTGGAAAAATTTCGATTCGCGCATCCGAAGTCTGCTAATTTTCGGATTCGAATTTTTTCTAATATTCGAAACGAATTCCACTTCGCCAAGTTCGATTCGCTCATCTCTACCATCCACCCCCAATCCTCCCATACAAAAACATAACCTCCTAAACCCTACAGCTCTTCCACCCCTCCCAAAAAAAAAAAAACAAAAACCCCACAGCAGCCCAAAAAGGACCTCTCGAGGTACCCCGATGCTCCTGCCACAATGACCCCAAAGGAAGAACCCACCCAAACCACCCCCCTTCCTATAAGGGAGAGAAGGGAGCTGAGGAGAAAAACACCAGCCCACTAATGCCCCCTACTCCCCAGACCCCGCTAGATG